ACAGCAGTGACCTTTACGAAGCATCAACAGGCCTGTGAAATGATGAAGAAAATGGAAGTTGTTTTTAACTTGGACCTGGTTCAGGACTTCACCTTTAACACCTTTAGTGTCATGTTTGTGTGCAGGTTGTTGTAAAGCAAATGAGTGATGGTCACATGATCAACAGAGCGGGTGTGATAGCTTTACTTGACCTATAAAGCTGCATGTTGTAACAGTGAAACAGTATTTCAAAATAAAAACAGTCTTCCAGAAATTCACTAATCTTACAGCTCCTCCAGTGTAAAGGTCTGTGTCCATGTGTAGTGTGATTATAGATCAGCTCTAGCTTCTATATTAATACTGTGAAAGTATCAAAGCCTCAGTCCACAGAGAAATGCACACAGCCTGTATTCAGAAACTGAGCCTTAAAACCAGCCGTCAGGACTTCTGGTAAAATGTGTTATTTCTTCTCTCAAAAGTGACATCTCACTTTAAAAGTCACGTTTTTTTGCTTGTTTTTTATTTCACCACTTTGACCCCCTCAGAATAAATCCATGGTTTATTTTTTTTGGCCCGCAGCCCTTGAGTTGGGAACCACTGCAGTGTAGATTAATAATCCCACACTCACTTTGTGGTGATCCTGTTATTATAGAAACTTGCGTTCATCCTTTTAATTATGAAGATAAGTGGTGTCACACTCGTTAAGCTGGATATAAAACTGCATATTATTATTATTTCCTGTGTTGATGTGAATGTGTTGTTGTTTCATGACCGAGCTCATGACAGGTTGTCGTTTTCTCATCCTCATGTTCATCTGGTTTTGTCTGTGCAGCATTAATTTCAACCAGGATGCGTCGCTCATCTGCGTCTCCAGTGACCACGGCACCGTGCACATCTTCGCTGCAGAGGATCCGAAAAGAAACAAACAGTCCAGGTCTGTTTCTGCACCTTTCTGCTGAATGATAATTAAAACAACTATGTTAAAGTGAATTTAACTTCTCGTGTGTGTGTGTGTGTGTGTGTGTGTGTGTGTGTGTGTGTTCGTCTCTCTGCAGCTTGGCATCAGCCAGCTTCCTTCCCAAATACTTCAGCTCTAAGTGGAGCTTCTCCAAGTTCCAGGTCCCTTCAGGTTCTCCCTGTGTGTGTGCCTTTGGGACAGAGCCCAACGCTGTCATAGGTGAGTTCAGTCTTGACTGTGATGCCAGGAACACACTTCCTGCGCTGACCAGCTGCGTCGTTGCTGCTGCAGCTCTCTCTCTCTCTTTACTTAGAGTTTTCAGGTTACGGGAATGTTGGCCTTTTTTTTTATTCTAAATTAATTTCTCATTTATTTTTGACAGAAAACGTCACTAAAACGTCTCTGTCTCCACATGCAGCTGCTAAAATGGTTAAAAAATATTCAGATTCAGTCTGGAAATAGAAGGTCGGAGCCAAAGTGTTCACGTTAGATCAACGCTAATGAACCAGAGAAAAGTCCTGTAATAAATCCTCATTCCTCTGTGTGATGGTTGTGAAGCTGTGGTTTGTGCTGCTTTATACTGAGAGGTGTTTCTGTTGTTCTTTTCCCTCCGTCAGGACGTTTTCACTGCCGCTGCCCGCTGGGCTCAAATAGCAGTTTGATCCATTTCCAGTTAAATCTACAGCAGAGTCAAGTGTGCACTGTAGATGAGATGTGGGTTGTGTTACCGTGACAGTGACAGCTCAGGGCCGAAACACACTGTCTTAACTAGATGTTTAAATTTCGTTTCATTAGAACTAGAGCTGTGTGTGTGTGTCTCCGTGTGTGGGTGTCTGTGTCTGTGTGTTTGCTGACTTGTATCCTGCTCTTGTGTCTCCCTCCACCGAGCAGCCATTTGTGCTGACGGCAGCTACTACAAGTTCCTGTTCAACCAGAAAGGGGAGTGTTCCAGAGACGTCTACGCCCAGTTCCTGGAGATGACCGATGAGAAAATATGACCTTTGACCCATCTGCAGACTCACACAGCCTGTTTTTTTCCTTTTTCTTTCCTTTTTTATTTTGGAGGAGGCAGGAGAGCTCCCATGTTGCACTTCTCCTGATCTTGACAGACTCTGTAGAAGAGCATCAGATGACGGGAGGACGGACACAGACTTTGGGGGAACCTGAACAGCAGAGACGGTCAGATGGATGCAGACTTTAGTCTCTCTGGACGGAGAGACACACACTTCACTGACTTTACTCCCAAATCAAACGCAAGAGAAAAGAGGGAAAGTTATTTTTCTGAAAGGACAACTCACCGCTTTTTAAGACGTCTTCCGAGGACTTGACAGAGGATGGCTATTTTTAATCACACGGATGATTCTGATAGTTAGACGGATTGAAAATACTGAGATTTTTGTCGACTAACACCACCTAACCTAACTGTAGGGAGTGCCTCTGAGACTGGAGAGAATCTGTATGTGTGAACATATTATTGTTGTCATATATACATACGTGTGTTTGTGTATATACCAATGCACCACATCACGAAGCAGGATCAGAGGGAGGCGACTGTTTGTCTCCACCTCTGGCCTCAACGTTCACAGCAACACCTGGAACATCTGGACAGACTCTGATCCTGCTTCGTGAGGCGTCACCTAGTATTACTAGATTTTCTTATATTCACTGTATAAACACAAAGCGCCAGACTGAACTTCTAACTACGTAGAACTGTACAGAATAGTAGCAAAAAGAACATGTATGAACATGTATTTTTGTTTCGGTCTTCCTTTTTTTTTTTTTCATACATTGTGCAATATGTGTTTTCCCTCTTTGTTTTTTTTTAAGTTGAAAGGTGAGTCTGTTGTTTCTACCTGCAGAAGAAAACTGAAAGAAATAGTTCATCTGTTATTGGGAAATGTGATTGTTCCACTTCTTGCTGGATTTTGCATATTTTACAAGATCCAGACTGTTTCCCCGTTTCCAGTCTTTATGCTAAGCTAACTGCTGCTAGCTTTAGCTTCACATAGACCACACAGACACGAGTATCGAGCTTCTCCTCTAACTCGTGACTGAGCTCAATTCCTAAAATGTTGAACTGTTTCTTTAAGAGTGTGTGGAGGTTGAGTTTTCTTGTTTCTACCTGAACTGGAGAAGCTGAATAACCAAACACACACACACACACACACACACACACACAGATTTAAGATGAGATTTTCTACTCAACAGCTCAGATCAACCGTAAAACTATGAATATTTTAAACTTGGTTAAAGACAGCACTTCATGTTTAATGTTGATACATTAACAGCCCGAGATGATTAAATCAGAAATAGATTAATATTTGCTTCATATGCTTTTCATTGAAGAGTGTAGTGTTTGTCTACATGCCCCGCCCCCTGCCCCGCCCCTAACGGCCATAAATTCAGCTAATGTAAATCAGGGAATCTGAAGTGCTTTGTCAAACCTAAGTTCAGTTCAGTTTTCATGTAGAATTCATGTTTTCATTTTTCATGTTACATGACAGTTTTTGTTGATTCAGTGCAAAAAAAAAAAAAAAAACACATTTCAATTTGTGTTACTTTCTACATGGGATTGTAAATCTGCAGGTGTCACACACACACACACATACACACAGTGACCACAGTAGGACGCTGCACAAACTGAAAAGCCAACACAGTCAGAAAGATTGTAAAACCTGCATTTAAATCTGTGAATAAAATTTAACATCTGCTTTTACAGTTACTCTGTCTGGACTCCTTCAGGCCGGCTGCAGCCTCCACCTCGTCCACAGCTCTTTGAATATCGACTAAACCGAGGTAACAACTCATCAGCATTAATGAGCTGTGTCCTCATTCCACTAGAAGTGCTAATTGTTTACGGTATATTCTCATGTTATACTTTTTTGGGTTTAATATACTACAAGTCAAAATACTTTATCTTCTACTAACAGGATATATGTACGTGTGAATGCAAAAGCAACTGAGATGTGACTTTAGAAAACCACAGCTAGCAAAGGGTTTTTCCCAAAAGTAGTTTTCTTCCGCTTAAATTTTTTCCAGCTTTTCCTTTTCCTTCGTTTTGTTGCATTGTGGGTGAAAAGTGCATCAATAAACAGCACAGAGTTTTTTGTTAGTCACGAAGGGACTGGGATTACACTTTAATTTGTCACCTCTCAGGTGTGAACGTGCTGCACACCTGCACTTTAAGTGTGTAGAAAGGTACACCGATCACTTGGAGGGAGTGATAGTGATCATTGGCTTGGGTCGATATTCGATAATATCAAATGATATTTTCTAATATGCCCCCCCCCTGACAACATTGTATATCTCGTGGTGATGTGACGGTACATGTATTTGTGCCGTTCAGTTCGGGACGTCCGGTTCGGTTTGCGTTGTGATCCAAATGAATAAAAGAATAAAGGCAAAAAAACAGATCTGCCCTTTCTGCAGATAAATGTGGAGACATTAATCCTTATTATTAAATGTTGGATATCGCCCAGGTCTAACAGCCGACAGTTCACTCCCTTCAGATCAGCTGTTAACACTTTAGTCTCTGGACACGATCAGACGACTCCAAACTACAAACCGCCCCCCTTCGACTTTTTACCAGTCACCTCCAGTTGTGGAGGAACCAGTGAGTCAAGCTGTCGGTGTTCAGAGGAAGCCTGTCCACCCTGTGGTCCACACACTTCCTGGATCGGCCTGAACACTTTACAGCACGTCTTCCCTCTACTCCAGATGTTAACTCTTAATCAGCTGGATGACTTCATCGTTTATTGTCTCTGACGGACAGAAAGAAAAGGATTCTTCACACAAACAGATTTCAGTTTGTGTTTGCCCAAAGAAATACGAACCAAGAGGTTGTTTGTGTTTTAAATAAATTTATAAAAAAAAAAAAAAAAAAAAAAAAAATTTTTTTTTTATTTTTTTTTTTTTTTAAAAAAAATTAAAAAAAAAAAAAAATTTTTTTTTTATTTTTTTTTTTTTTTAAAAAAAATTAAAAAAAAAAAAAAATTTTTTTTTTATTTTTTTTTTTTTTTAAAAAAAATTTAAAAAAAAAAAAAAAAAAAAAAAAAGCATTTACCCACGGAAGCAAGAACAAACACCTATCACTTGTTTTTCCTCGTGTAACATAGAATACAATCTGAATAGACTTCTCTAGTAGCCTGAACAGAATAAAATAATCAAGCAAAGAGACGGCCAACGTCAACACAAAGATAACAAACAGCCAATGATGACGGGAAAAACTGAGAACAAATAAAAATACAAAAAAAACAAAAATAAAAACGAACTAAGAGGGTTAAGTGCAGCACTGGTCAGAATCATATAGCGTAGATTCAGTCTAAATTTTCTTCAGTTCCATATTCAGTTAAATCTGCTCAAGTACATTGTCTCTAGATCCGTAACATGCAAGCTCGATGAAGCATATGGTCAAATACGCATGGGAATATACTTTTTTTTATCTCATAGGATATTTGTAAAATATGAAAAAATCTGTAGATGTACAGTGATAAAGAAATTTCATTTGCATGAATGAGCAGAGAAAAGAACATCCACTCCATAGATAGTGTTTTCTTTAAAAGGCAAAAAAATAAAAAAAAATGAAAAGAAAGGAGACTACATTCATTTCACTGAACAAAGAGTCCACATACAAAAACAAAAAAACAAAGGATTCCCAAAATATCATGTTGTCATGTGTTGTTTAAATGTTCTTAAAGACCCCACTTATAGCTTTTATTGTCTTAATTATTACTAGATAGTATCTGTGCCTTGGGAAATGGAGAAACACTCAAAAAAGATCCACAGATACACTTGTACAACGGAATACTGCATATCTACTCACGACTGGGTTAGGTAGGTCGACATGGAGGCTAGCTGCCGAAGATGGGAATGTCCACACGTACGTACACACACTTCCCTTAGCGGAATACATGACTGGTGATTTCACTCTGTCGCGTTCTCTATCCGACACACAGTTAAGCGCTCGTCTTGTAATGCTACCAGGATCAGGCTCCTTTTCCTTCTCCGTTCTTTGGGGAGGGTCACATGTCTTTTTCTTTTTTTTTTAAATTCTTTTTTCTCTCTCTCATCTGGAAATCTGGATTTATGTTGAATCTAGTTTTTCTTCCTGCAGAATCTTCTTGCCATCTGGGTCTCAAACGTCAGGGTTTCACAGTCATCAGCGCCTCTTCTTTACTTCCATTTTCAATTTGGTCTCTAGTTTTTGCATCATATTTCGTGGTCTTAAATATATGGAAGAGGAAGAGTGAGGTTGGGGGGGGGGGTTGAGGAAGTTTTGCACATTCTGTAGTCCCGTTTGTGTTTCCACGTCTCTTCTCTTTTTGGCACCTTGAAGTAGATGATGACCAGGTAGGATGGGGGGGGTGTGGGGGGCGGAAGGTGTGAGGCTCAATGCATACAGGAGAGCAGGGGCCGGGAGGCAGATCAGGGGGAGGCTACTTGTCGCCGACCTGTTCACTGACCCCGCCTTCTCCAGCTCTGTCCGTGGTACCGTTGTTGTTGTTGGCGGCGGCCGCCTCGCCGCCGTTCTCTTCCTGCGTCTTCACCCTCTTTGACTCAGGCTGGTCCTGCAGTTCTCCGTTCTGCCTCTTGGTGGGGAGGGAGGCGGAGGCGGAGGCGTGGGCCGCCAGGAGGTGGAGAGGATTCGCAACGGCTGCAACAAAGACGACAGGAAGTATTAAAAATGAGACACCGTGTGACCGCGTCACTAATCTCTCACATCCAACATATAAACGACTCATCATGTTCGTTCTGCTGCTAAAACTAGAACTGCTTTTAAATATTATTTAAGATAGATAGAAATAAGATTTAAGGTGTTACACAGACTTCACCTGTCAGAGTCTGAACCGTCTGAAATCTATTCTAATATTGTGACTTTACATCTTCCTTGTCTTTAAACAGAAGAGACGAGTGGAGGAACGATCAGCTGTATAATTGATCAGTCACAGAAGATAAATGTGATAATTAGTGTTTTAAACTCTCTGACTCCAGGTTCTCAGCTGCCACTGTCTGATGCTTCTTTGTCAGAAACAGGAAGTCTGATCAATTAAATCAATTATTTTAGACATTTTAGTTGCAGCTCTAAAATGAGTCAAATTTAAAACGTTATTTCAAATAAATTTTGCTGTTCTATTTTATTATTAATTCACCTTTTAAAGACAACATCAGTAGACATCATGTTTTACTGAGCCAGTTTCCTGATCGTTTCCACTTCGACTCTGAACCTTTTAAAACTTCTTACAGTTTACGGCTCTGTTCACACGGTGACTTTTAACCTGTTTAACCTTTAACCTCCGTTTTATGCTTTTATGACATTGTTCTAAACCTTGATGTGTCGCCTCACCTCGTTACCATCTCCATGTTTTATGCTTCTTACTGTAAACTGGCTTCTCTGCCGCTGGTTATCTTTCAAAAATAATAATGTGACTTCCTCTTATGAGTCAAGGCTGAAACGTTTTTTTGCAGAAAAACCCTTTCCAACAATAAAAGCCCCGCCCAGCTGATCCTGACACGCCCAGGCTGAGAGACCGACTTGTTCTCAACCTGGAGCTCGTGAGATTATGTTCGGGGGACACAGGACGGTAAATAAGTAAAGTTTTGAAGAGTGGATCCCTGTTTTGTTTTCATGCACATGTGAACATGTAGGCGACATGTTACACTGATAATCAATTTAATGCTGATGCACTGATCGATAACTGGTTGGAGAAACACACAAAGAAGCAGAAATACATGCAGGGAAGAAGGTGACAGACATGGATGTGAAATGTTTTGTGCACATCACAACTCTTCAATACACCTAGCTTCGTTCTCAGCTGTTCATATGATGACACTGATCACATGACAGATCGATGTGCTATGTAAGGAAACAGGAAACTCAGACACACTGTGTGTGTGTGTGTGTGTGTGTGTCACACCTGTGCTAGCTGCAGAACTGATGGGGACGAGATGGGTCCCGTTTTGTGTGATGGCCTTTATAGGGAGCTGGTGCTGACCGAGTGGAGCTTGCTGCACGATGGTAACTGTCGTCAGGGGAGTGGCCTGAGAGCTCTGGATGATGCGACTGACTCCGCCTAAAGACGAGGCGGTGATGGATGGAACCGGCTCCACTTTCACTGCACAGGGAGGGAAACTCGCATCAAACTCCACACACACACACACACACACACACTGAGGTATGTAACAACATGAACGTGACTCCGGTCTCACCTTTGATCTCCTTGTGCTCCCCCCCTCCGTTCTCCTGAGGTTCTGTGCTCACTGTAGCAGCAGACTGTCCGCCAACAGTTGCCATGGTCACTGCGGGGATCTGGTGGACAACGTGCACCGTCTGCATGACGGGGGCGGAGCTAACCGTCGACGTTACGATGGCCGGCGTGGCCATGGTGTAGGTCACAGGCTTCATGGTCGTTTGAGGCATCTGGCGCTGCACGGCGATCAAGACCGGCTGGTTGTTGAGGGGGGAGCCTGTCAGAGGGCGGGGGCACAGGTAACTGTCAGTCACTGCAGAGATAAATATAAACTCTGTGACATCAGAGTGTTTACGTGATGCAGCTGATCTCTGTTCAATGTTGTGTCTTACCAGGGGAGTTCTGTGCAAAGCGGGCCTCTTGGATGACGGCGAGTTTGGGCTGGACTGTTGCTGTTTGGGTGGGGGCTGGTGGGGGGGTTGGCTCTGGCTCCATGGGGACAGGGGACCCCTCTCTGGAAAGGCTGTCTGGGGTCTGGACCCCACTGGAGTGGGCAGACAGTGCTCCTGTGTGGTTGGGAGAAGCTGGAGCGCTCCTGGAGGAGGAGGAACACGGCGTTAACCCCTCCACACACGTACAGGTAACAAAACTGAGAGCGTGTCTTTAAAGTAACAGCCACTGATTAAAGTGCATCTCTACCTGGAGGAAAGAGGTCCCACAGGGGTCCTGAAGCAAGGCACCCCCCTGGGCCTGCGCTTCCTGAAGGCCTGTTCTATCAGCTTGCCCTCGGAGGCGGGGTCGATCCTCCAGAACGAGCCTTTGCCCGGCTCCTCCTGAGAGCGGGCCACCTTGATAAAGTACCGGTTCAGGGAGAGGTTGTGGCGGATCGAGTTCTACGACAGCGACAAACACAACACACACACACATGAGCCGAGTGTCACACAATGTGTTTATCGTGTTTTTTTTTTTGTTTGGTCGAACAGCAGCTGAACTTCAAGTGACTGTTTAACACAGATTCAAGGACGACCAGACGACACATGAAGCACTGACTGTGATCTGCCTGTGGAAGAAAAATCTGTTTATTTGTTTACTAACAGTAAACAGTGTGTAGATGGAATGGACTGCACTTTTACGAAGCTTTTCTAGTCTCATCAACCAATATAAGCCACATTCACAACACAGCGTTTTATCCTACACATGTAGCGCTTTGCTAACATACATGCTAACATCCGCATGCAGTGTTATATACTTATACCTGAAACATAAAATACAAGAAACAAAGTAAGATAATATATTTATGTATATCATTGTATTTTATATGCCCCTTTTACACCTTTTACACTAAATGATAATTAATAATAAGTATTAAACTTTGAGCATCTGCCTGAACCCACACTGACATCTTCATCCAAACACTAAAAGGTATTTAATTTACAATAATATAAAAACAAAGAAATGCAGAAGCAAAAGCTGGAGGCAGAAAATGTTCAGCGTTTTCTGCTTGAACAAATTATTTAATGTCATTTGAATCATGATTAATTTAATTCACAATTTTGCATTTGACTCGACAAATGACAGGAGACATGAGTGAACAGAGTGAAAGCACACAGAGAAGACACTGACCTGCCAGCCTTTGTCAGCTGTTCTGTAGTAGGGGTAGTTCTTGGTGATGTGGGTGTATATTCCATTCAGTGTTAGCTGTTTATCCGGGGCCATGGTGATAGCTTGGACTATTAGTTGTGCATATGAATACGGAGGTTTGGAGTCGTCCTGTTGGAGATGAAAGGAAGTTAAATTCATGTTCTGCTGGGAGGAAATTTGTTTTGTTGGTGACGAGGCGACACTCCAGACACACACACACACACACACACAGATTCAGACTCTGTATCCAAAGTCTGTGTTGTTGCGAGTGTTATGCAATTTTTAGACTTCAATGAGTAACCCAGGATGTTCACAGCGCTCAAATCCGGCGAGATTTCTCTGAAGTCTTCCGCCTTCATCATGCAACTCCGAACAACATTCATCCATTTTTTACCCACTTCTCATTCCTTCCCTGCACCGTGTCTCTCTCACCTTTGGGCTGTCTTCACCTGAGGCCTCCTTGTCGTTCTCTGATTGGGAGTTGTCTCCTATAAGGTCAGAGGCCAGGACGCGGCCTGTCCTGTAGCTGGAGAGTCCTGCCCCCCGTGGACTCGATGGACAGGAGTTTGCTGCACTGTAAAAACAATAAAGAAACATCTGTGAGAAACTGACATCTGGAAAACAAACGACAAAATCACAGAATTTACACCATATTGTCACCGTGCACTCGACTGGCTGAACCCGCTCTCACCTGATGGTGCCGGTGGGCGAAGGCAGTGGGCTCATGAGGTGGGCGATGTTGTCAGGAATGTTTATGGTCAGTGGGGAAATTTGGGGTTGGACGGGCTTGACCGGTGATTCCGGCACGTTCCTTGGCTCCTTCTTATCACTGGACAGGGCTGTGAACGTGATCTTTATACTTGTGCTAGGGAACCGGAAACAACACCTGAGAATGAAACACAAGCACAGGCAAAACATTAGTGTGTCCATACATCCATTTGAATTACTGTGCATTTGTATGAGTGGGAAATTATGCTTATTACAATGTTATTGTACAGATAAGCCTCCTGCCTGGCAACAAGCAGGCCAAGGTCTAACTGAAGCCCAGAGAGGAGCACTGAGATTCAGCCTCAGTTTAAAAATGGACTTCCACCATGACTATTATATAACAGATCATGTCTAACATGTCTAATTTATTATTAATGGGGTATATTTGGACCAGCTGCTGACACCTTAAAATGAATGACTACTATGGAGTGGTGACAAAAATCAACAACATATTCTACATTGACATTTAATACGTTTCCATGGTAAATATGAGTTACTACAAAAACAATGAGTTTCAGGACAAACAAGCTGAGCAGTGTAAACACCGACGGGTACATGAAGCCAAGTTGACATTGAGCCAGATCAAACTCACAACAGCACAACCCTTAGCTTCACAGCTGTCATTATGATGCTAATATTCGACTGTACCGATAATAAACAACAACAATTCATCACCAGTCTTTAAATAACAAAGTACATGTCGGAAACATTTCCTACAAAAGCACAAATTCAACTCTAAGCTCGTGTTGGTGGCATGTTAGCTAGCAGTTGGGTGTTAGCCCAAATACAATAAGTTACCAAAGTAAACCAAACTCCATTACAAATTTTAGTTTTTTTTATGTTGCTTATTTAAGTATCCACAAATACAAACACCAAAGAGCACATAGTAAGATAGTTTTAAATCATTATGTGCCACTCTGCAATTCGGCATATATCACACACAGAACAACAGTAACAATAAACATCTGATTCTTTGAATGTAAGAAGCTAGGTTCCACATTAAGGGCAACAGGGAACTAGTTGCTAGCTTAGAGCATGACTGTCTGGTGTGTCACTGAGGGCTGCTAGGAGGACTGCATGTACGCCGAATAAACCGCAACACCCAAATAATTAACACACCGGTTCGAATCAGTTTAAAAGTGCTTTTTTGTGTTTGGTAATCACCAACAACATGGTAAAATTAGCATATTTGGCATGGAGGTTTAACGTGACGTTATCGCCACACAAGCGAGCAGCACGTATCAGGCTCGGTGTTGCTTGACACAACACGTGCAACACCGCTGCGGGATAACAAAACAATAACAACACGTTAACCCACAAATCCGTAGATGATTTTTTTTTTTTTTTCCTACTACAAGCAAACAGGTCATGTGTGAGTCTTACATTCGTGGAAGCTGGAGAGGTGGAGCCCCTCTTCTCTGGAACACCCCATCAACAAACACCCCGTTTTTTCCCAGGCATCGGAGGTAGAATTCCCCCGTGCCGGTGCCGTCCTCTCCTGCGGTGAATATTTCGAGGTGCCGCCGGGAGATGAAGCTGGAGTGTCCCATGCTGACGTCCACCGAGCCCTGCGAGGAGTTCCGGCCGATGGTCACCGACCTTTTCTTCATCAGATACTCGAATTCTCGGCCCTCTAGCCGGGCTACCGCCGACCCCGACATCCCGCTTACCACCGCCATCTTCTGAGGTATCCGGTGGAGATTTGGAAATGTGTATTGAGCGCGAACGTACGAGCGGTTGCAGGGAAGTGAAGAGGGGGTATTTTTGGTTTAGTGGGGAAAAAAAGGGGGGGATCCAATTTTACACCGTGGAGAATTTGGCTAGGAACGTGCCAGACCGGGGACACAGCGGCTCCGACCCACCGCCGCGAAGCAGAAGAAAAAAAAGAGCAGAGCCGACCAATCACACGCGGCCAAACGGGCGGAAGTAGCGCGACAGACAACCCCTTCGACCAATGGGGAACCGGCCTGGGTAGGCAGATGTGTGGTGTTTACCAATGACAACAATAATAAAAATAGCCGTAGAAAATGGAGTTCGGTTGCACCGCAGGCTGACACGCAGATGGATGGAGGGAGGGAAAAGGCGGCGCAGTGATTTGAAGGAGGGGGATTCGATGTGAGATCACAGATGTGTTTTCTGCACCAAACGTATCAGTCTTCATGAATAAATAAATTTAAATAAAATAAAATAAATAAATTAGATTTGTTGGCCTTTAAAAAAACATTCAAGTCTTCAAACATGCAATAACTGATTCTTGGACACTTGAAGGCAGCAGGAACAAAATACTGACATATTAACTTTAGATTATTTAGTATTACACATCCTGCAGATATGAAGCTAATATTAGCTTGTGTAGGAGCAGTTTTAGTTAACTAAAACTGCTCCTACAGCTTGTATTTAGGGTTGTGTCTGTGTTGAATGTAAGTGCGACATCTTCTTTAAGCTTTAAGAATTAGCAGCATTTGCTCTCAGTGATGGTGGTGTTTCCAATGTTCATGTGGGATAAATCTACTTAAATAAAAATGCAATCATGGCTTAATCCTCTGCTTTTATTTTGCTCTCCACCAAAATATCTGGCTACATTAATTAGACCAGCTTTAAAAGCTGTGTGTCCTAGTAAGAAAGCATCCAATATAATCTCTAATTTTGGATTTAATTGAGTTTCTCTATTTGTGATGCAATTATTAGTCATTTAACATTAAATTTTTATTCATTTCTTTATCTCTATTTTAACATAATTATCAATTTTACGATTCTAATTTGTCAGTAATTAGATTTTTGAAGTGTCCCTGCAGTTTTATATATTGTTACTGTTGTAATTTTGAAATTTCAATTAAGGGAAAAGTAGATGTTAAATTACACTTTGCAGACTCTCCTCTTTCAGATCTGCCAGGCAAGGACATAAAGCTTCTCTCCATTATGTTATTGTATGTCTTTATTAGACAGCGACAGCGGACAGATGGCAGGAAATGGAGATGGAGAGAGAGATGGGGAATGACATGCAACAGAGATCACCAGCAGTACATGAACCAGGGGCGATGCAGTTCATGTTGTGTGCCTTAACCCCTCAGGAACCAGGGCTCCACTAAGAGGTAAACCCTGACATGACCCTTAACTCCACCTATATTCGCTCTACACATCTACATCTACACGAGACTAATTCATGCCTGAATCCTGAGTCTATTGTGAAAGTTAATTCTGGACGGTGGCAGCAGCAGTTTGACCATAAAAGAAAAAAACTGAAGTAAAGGTTCACTTACATTTTTTTTCAGTGCTTTCAAATTATTATAATTTGTCGTATTATCATATGACAGGTGATGACAGCTGAGGTATCTCTGTGAAAACTGAGTAAACCTCATTTGGCCAATGAAGACCATGAGATTTGGTTGAAGGCACTGAAAAAAGATGGGAAGTGGACTTTGATTTAAGACTGTTTTGTGAGTAGGTAATCCGGTCCTGGAGATGGCTGCAAAAAACTGTATCGAATAATTCATAATTGATCAATAAATAGTTTTACAAATGTTTTAATTTATTAAATAGAAAAAATCAATAAAACATTTTAAATGTAAATATCATTTAAAAAAAAAAGAGTAAGTAAGTAAAGCAGTAATGACCCTGTTATAAAGTTTACTACTGCATGAATCCGGTTCCCTGAGGAGATCCATACAGCCGGGGTTTCCGAGCAGCGGGTTAGTTTACTAACTGTAGTACAGCAGCTACCACGCTGTGTGTGTGTGTGTGTGTGTGTGTGTGTGTGTGTGTGTGTGTGTGTGTGTGTGTGTGTGTGTGTGTGTGTGTGAGTGTGTGTGTGTTACATAATGGATTAAACCACCTCAGACTGTGTTGACATCTTCACTGAGGTGGACTCGGGTTTTCACACATTCCCGCCACCACGAGCTGTTAACGCTCTAAGTCTGTATCAATGTTCAAGAAAACGTGCTGCACTCACAAAACCCATGCGCCATGGCGCACGTGTTCTCGGACGATGACGTAATCACATTCGACTGAGCTACATTCAGGAGAAACACGGTGTTCATGAAGGTTGTGAATTATGTTCTGTCCTTTATACAACACACAACAAAACAACATTAAAACTGGGAAAAATAATCGCACTGCTCATATACAGTATGTTATATAAAATATATCTAAAAATGATACACAGTATGATATAAAAATAATGAGTAAACTCCAGTCCCATATGCAAATGTATGTAGATATATGTAAACATTACATAGGCCAATGACACCTGTTAGAAGTTGGAACTGTTTCATATATTGACGTATATGTCTGGCTCATATAATAATAATAAAAACAATAATGTATGTTTGTGTATATATGCTTATATTGAAGATGTATGTTATGCAGGCTATACATCCATCCCCAAAGCCTGTCAATATACTATATGTTGATATTATATATGTAAATATAAAAGATATTAATGTTTAAAATGAATAAGAAATCAATTAAATTCAATTAAAATTAAATTAAATTAAATCAAATTAAATTTTTATTAAAGTATGTTGTGTTAATAAACATACATACAGTATGTAAATTAAATATATATCGTTAAAAAATATGGTTGCAACATTTATACCATATAAAAATTCATCACATAGATATTTTAAATTAAATTTAAAATACAAATTCTACTATGGGTATTTCATATATGTTATAAACATATATCTTCATATATCCAGAGTGTGTACAAATGTATGTTTTTATTGCAGACATATGTTACATACATATATCCATCCCAACCTTTCAATATATGTAAATCTGAAAGATATTGATGTTTAAAATGAATAAGAAATCAATATGAAAAAACATGTATAAACATATAGAATTTCTAAGTATATTGTTTTAATAAACCTGAATATAAATTAAATATATATCATTAAACAAATCAAAGTGAAACCAGATTTAAAACATTCATTTAGTCACATAATGAAATGTCTTTTCATTTAATTCCACTGATAAAGTAATTTATAAGGTAAAACTGTTTGTCAATATCAATAATCATATCATTTAAACATATATATATATATATATATATATATATAATATATACAATACAATACAATATCATATATTACCATCTCGGATTGAACAAATATACTCAATTCAATTCAGTTTTATTGATATAGCACCAAAACATAACATTATCTAAAAGCAGAGTAAAGTCAAAACCTTACAACATATTACAATATATATTTATATATTATTATTATTATTTTTAGCATTAGTAGTAGTAATAGTAGTAGTAGTAGTAGTAGTAGTAGTAGTAGTAGTTGTTGTAGTATCAATAGTGGTAAAACATCAGTCCAGTGCTGCCACCTGCTGGTTTGTTGTTGTCCTACAGGTCTTCATCTTCCTGTGATCGGGGACTAAAAGGCTTTTCCCACCAGTCAGTGTATGTGTGTAGAGGTCTTAACTTATTAACAAGGTACCACAGGAATTAATTGACCAAATATTTAATCCCAGTGAGAATAAAACCAACAAGCAGTGAAAGGATTAACACACAGTGTGTTTTTCAAAAGTACTTTCAGGGATCGTTACTGGTTTATTAAGATTATAATGTAACTCCCTGAGAGGACACTGTAAAGGGTGACTTGTTAGGAAAAAGAATAGTTTTGATTCTAGTTTCGTAAATTAGATGTAAATGAAAAAGGAAGCTACTGTATGAACACCAGGAACAAAACTATCACTTACTTAAGCAAGTATTATTTTATGCCTCATATCACTTAGAGTAGATTTAGCTCATTTAAACTTCTCATTTAAACATATCTTTTAATTTAGTTAGTTAACAGCTGGTACCAATTCATTTCAGTCTCAGTTGCTTCTCAGTTTTTCTTCTCTTTGCTGCAGCAGCGACTCTCCTCTGAAACCTCATTAACGTCCTGAGAACTCCTCCTCATCCACTCAGTGGAAGGGAAGTAGGATAAATTACATTCTTAAGAGTTCATTTACAGGAAACACAGTGAACAATATGATTTCTGTAACCTGAACCCTCCCTCACATATCACATTTTACAGTGTGGATTCACAGTTTATTACTTTACTGTAGTTCTGTACTTCAGTACAGTTATGGGGCTCTTGTACTTTACCTTAGGTGTTTTAAGTTAGATTTCTATTGTGCATATGAAATCCCATACATTTGTTTAATTACTCCTTAAACACTCTGTTAGTCTCTCCTGATTGAAATAAATGTAGTGGAGTAGAAGAAAATGGAAACTGTTCTTAAATATAATATATAAATATTTGAGTCAATGTACCATTGAGAAATATTGTACTCTTTCCTCCACTGCACATTTATCTGACAGCTGTAGGTGTAGCTGGTTACTTTTCAAATTAAAAGTTTCATTCACAACATATGATCAGCAAATAAAATACTAATCATTGTTACAGAGGTAAATATCCAGCGATATATGATGCATATGATGCTGCTTAAACATATAAACTCCAGTAATATAGTGTATATGGCCATTGTGCAAAACTTTTACTTTTACTTTTGATACAAGAATGTTTTGCTGTTGAAAAGGAAATTAGTGATGTAATATAAATATAATTGTTGGTGGAATGTAATTAGAAATAATTTATATGATATCCTGTCAATGTGATAAAAAATAATAGTAAAATAAAATAAATCTTATGACAAAAAATGCAAATATGATATAAAATATAATATAATATAAAATAAAATAGTGTACAATAATATGATAATAGTGATGATATAAATGCACGATATTTAAAGTAAACACTTTCAGTACTGGCCTTTCCTCTGAAGCATCATGACATTAAATGCACCGCTGCTGCAGTGTGAAGTGCTGGCAGGACCCACCCCCCCAACA